AATCTAAAAAAAGAAATGTTGTTTCTGTCTTGCATGGTGTTTTAAATAGTAGAATCCAAATGTCTTCTGGAAGAGCATATGCCCCCTTGTTAGTCACAAGACCCACAAATCCCTGCACAGCATCACAAATAGCAGGAAACGAGGGCCCATAGGCTACTGAGTTTGTAACCACCCCCCTCAGATTAGGGATAACACCCTGTAAAGGAAGCTGACATACCAGACACCGGCACTGCTGACAGCCGTGAGTCCAGTTGTCTCCGCTTCGATAAAGCTTGTGTGCATTCTGATCTAAACATTGACTTGTGACCCTGGTATCACACTCTGGGCAACAGAAAAGGTCAACGCTTGGATTCTGGCAATCACAAGGTGTCCGTCGGCAGAATATCTTCCCATCCTGTTTAGAAATGAGGTTAAAGAAGTTTCATCATTAGGGAAATAATAAGATAGCTGCACTATGAAAACTGAACCTTATAAGCACTTAACAGAGAACATAGGAAAGATTTTTTCAGAGGCAATGTACTCCCTTGGCCACCTCTCAAGTAAAAAATGTAGTAAGTTTAAAAAAGAAGTTGATATGTTCTGTGAAACTTTCTAAATGTTTCATTAAAAACCATATTTCTAAGTAAAATTATAACTAAGCAGCCAAAAATGCATAAAAGATCAAGAACTAACCTGAGTGGAAAATCAAGCTACTGCACTTTTCCCAGTTCACAGTGGTATCACCTACCACATTGAAATACATTCATCTATTTTATCTCTATCTCAACTCAAAGTCTGATTATACTTTTTAAAAATTAAAAAAAAATTTTTAATTGATGTACCATCAGTTACAATGTGTCAATTTCTGGTGTACAGCACAATATCCCAGTCATGCATATGCATACATATATATTGGTTTTCATATTCTTCATTAAAGGTTATCACAAGACATTGAACATAGTTCCTTGTGCTGTAAAGCAAAACATTTTTAATCTATTTTTATATATAGTGGCTAACATTTGAAAATCTCAAAATCCCAAATTTATCCCTTCCCATTCCCTTTCCCCAGCAACCATAAGATTGTTCATTATGTCTGCAAGTCTGTTTCTGTTTTGCAGATGAGTTCATAGTGTTATTTTTTTCTTCTTTTTTGATTTCCACGTATGAGTGATATCATGTGGTATTTGTCTTTCTCTTTCTTGGAATGATGATCTTTAGGTCCATTCATGTTGCTGCAAATGGCATTATTTTATTATCTTATGGCTGAGTATTATTCTATTATATAAATATACCACAACTTCTTTATTCAGTCATCTGTCGATGGACATTTAGGTTGCTTCCATGTCTTGGCTATTGTAAATAGTGCTGCTATGGGTATTGGGGTGCATGTATCGTTTTGAATAAAGGTTCCCTCTGGATATATGCCCAGGGGTGGGATTGCTGAATCACATGGTAAGCCTGTTTTTAGTCTTTTGAGGAATCTCCATACTGTTTTCCATAATGCTGCACCAAACTACATTCCCACCAACAGTGTAGGAGGGTTCCCTTTTCTTCACAGCCACTCCAGCATTTGTTTGTGGACTTTTGAATGACGGCCATTCTTACTAGTGTGAGGTACCTCATGGTAGTTTTGATTTGCATTTCTTTGATAATTAGCAATATTGAGCATTTTTTCATGTGCCTATTGGCCGCTTGTATGTCTTCATTGGAGAATTGCTTGTTTATGTCTTCTGCCCATTTTTGAATTGATTTGTGTGTGTTTTTTTTTAAGTTGTACGACCCGTTTATATATTCTGGAAAATAAGCCCTTGTTAGTCTCATCTTTTGCAAATATTTTCTCTTATTAGGTTGTCTTTTTGTTTTGCTTATGGTTTCCTTTGCTCTGCAAAAGCTTATAAGTTTAATTAGGTCCCATTTATTTTTACTTTTATTTCTATTGCCTAGGTAGATTGCCCTAGCAGAACATTGCTGAGATTTATGTTGGATACTGTTTTTCCTACATTTTCTTCTAAGAGGTTTATAGTGCCTTGTCTTATGTTTAAGTCTTTAAGCCATTTTAAGTTTATTTTTGTGTATGGTGTGAAGGAATATTCTAACTTCATTGATTTACAAGCAACCGTCCAGGTTTCCAAAACCATTTGCTGAAAAGACTATCTTTACACCATGTTCTTGCCTCGTTTGTCAAAGATTAATTGACTAAAAGTTTGTGGGTTCATTTCTGGGCTCTCTATTCTGTTCCATTGATTCATATGTCTGGTTTTGTGCCAACACCATGCTGTGTTGATTACTGTAGTTCTGTAGTATTGTCTGAAGTTTGGGAGGGTTATTCCTCCAACTTCATTCTTTTTCTTCAGTAATGCTTTGGCAAATCTTGGTCTTTCATGACTCCACATAAATTTTATGATTGTTTTCATCTAGGTCTGTGAAAAATGTCCTGGGTAATTTGATAGGGATCACATTAAACCTATAGATTGCTTTGGGTAGTATGGCCATTTTAATAATAATAATTCTTCCAATCCAAGAACATGGGATATCTTTCCATTTCTTTAAGTCATCTTTAATTTCCTTAGTCAATGTTTTATAGTTCTCCACATATAAATCTTTCACTTCCTTGGTCAGATTTATTCCTAGTATTTTATTCTTTGGATGCAATTTTAAAAGGGGTTGTTTCTTTACTTTCCTTTTCTGATATATTCATTAGAGTAAAGAAATGCCACTGACTACTGTATGTTAATCTTGTATCCTGCTACCTGGCCAAATTTTTATTAGCTCTAGTAGTTTTTATGTGGAGTCTTTAGGTTTTTCTATATTTAGTATCATGTCATCTGCATATAATGACAATTTTACCTCTTCTCTTCCAACTTGGATCCCTTTTATATATTTTTCTTGTCTAATTGCTATGGCTAGGACTTCTAATACTAACATTGAATAAAAGTGGTGAGAATGGGCATCCTTGTCTTGTTGCAGGTTTTAGTGGAAAGGCTTTCAGCTTTTCACCATTGTGAGTGTTATGCTGGCTGTAGATTTGTTACAAATAGCTTTTATTATGTTGAGATATGCTCCCTCTATACCCACTTTGATAAGAGTTTTTAATCATAAATGGGTGTTGAATTTTACCTTTTTCTGCATCTATTGAGATGATCATGTGATTTTTGTCCTTTCTCTTACTGATGTGGTGTATCACATTGATTGATTTGCGTATGTTGAACCATCCTTGTGTCCCTGGGATGAACCCAACTTGATCATGATGTATGATATTTCTTTATGTGTTGTTGGATTCTGTTTACTAATATTTTGTTGAGGATTTTTGCATCTATATTCATCAATGATATTGGCCCATAGCTTTATTTTTTGGTACTGTGTTTGTCTGGCTTTGTTATCAGGGTGATGGCAGCTTCATAGAATGAGTTTGGGAGTACTCCGTCCTCTTCAATCTTTTGGAAGACTGAGAAGGATTGGTATGAGCTCTTTATATGTTTGGTAGAATTTCCCAGTGAAGCCGTCTGGTCCTGGACTGTGAGTTGCAGGGAGGTTTTTTATTGCTGATTCTATTTAACTTCAAGTGATTGGTCTGTTCAAATGATCTATTTCTTCTTGGTTCAGTTTTGGTGGATGGTATGTTTCTAGAAACTTGTCTATTTCTTCTAAGTTGTCCAATTTATTGCCATATAGTTGCTCATAGTGTTCTCTTAAGTTTTTTTTTGTGTATCTATGGTGTTGGTTGTAATCTTTCCATTTTCATTTCTTGTTTTGTTTATCTATGTACTCTCTCTTTTCTTCTTGGTGAGCCTGGTCAGAGATTTGTTAATTTTGTTTATCTTTGAAAAAAAAAAAACAGCTGTTGGTTTGATCGATTTTTTTCTATTTTTTTTTAAATCTCTATTTTATTTATTTCCTCCCTGATCTTTATGATTTCTTTCTGCTGATTTTAGGTTTTGTTTGTTCTTCTTTTTCTAATTCTTTTAGGTGGGAGGTTAGATTGTTTATTTGAGATTGTTCTTCTTTTTTGAGGAAGGCCTGTATCACTATGAACTTCCCTCTTAGGATTGCTTTTACTGTATAGATTTTGTGTGGTTGTGTTTTCATTGTCGTTTGTCTCAAAGTATTTTTGAATTTCTTCTTTGATTTCATCGTTGCTCCACTGGTTGTATAGTAGCATGTTGTTTAGTCTCCATGCTGTTTTTTTTTTTCTTTTCTCATTTGTTTTTCTGTGG